TTTTCCTGCCAGTTCTGGCAGCCAGTCTTAATTTGTTTAGCTTGAAGCATTTGCCGAAAAAACCGACGCCGTTAGCGACAAAAATTGCGGGGAACTCTGCAAAAAAACGCATCATCGCACGGGCAACCTGTGCGTTGGCCAATTATTTGAACCTTTCATCGTAACGATTTCCCACTGCAGCACAGGGCTTTTTTTCTGAGCTGTGGTTCAAAACTAGTACTAGGCTGATTTGACTAAGTACTCTCCTCCACGTGTATCATCTCCCATCCCAATTCAAATTATCACATTTTTATACCTCGTGCATGTGTAAAAAAGAACTCTGAACACAACCTTCTCCTAGGGCAAGAACCTTTTATTCCCCCTAATTAACTATCAAAGTAAATCCCAGATCAACTCAGAGAAAACTAATTTATGCATTTACAGAACCTCGCAAAAAAAAAAAAATTTAGCTATACTCTGCAAATTACCAGATTACAGTCATCATTTTCCGCTCAGCAGGAAAGATCTTTCACCAATGATGCCTTCTTAGCATCACTGAAGATGGATGTTTCCTGCTGAGCAGAGAATGGATCTCCGACCTGTCCACCTGCTTCTAGGCGGTAGTCCTCTTTCATCCCCACTTCCACTAGAACTAATCCAATTTGCATATACCTGCTAGTCCAACGGCAAACACAGTGGCCGCAGTTAACAGAAACATTTGTTTTATGCAACATTCAAGTGGACCAATTTCGTTTCTAAAGACAATTCAGCTTTAGAATCAGGAAGATATTAACGTATTTTGAGCAGATACTTACATAATTTTAACGGTCTTTACATTAAAATGAAGAGCGGTTAACGACCAACCGTTTCTGAGCGTATTTAAGCGATTCATATAAAAAGAACTCATGCATATATACATATAGATATATCCGATGGAAAGCTAGGTTGCAGCTAGCCTTTTCTCAACAATCTTAATGTTCCACGACAAGGAAAAATGTTGCTTCCACGACCGAAATTGGGAAGATGCTGCAACTTGAATGCCACACACTTATTATGCGTTTTGTGCTGTGTAACAGCAGTACAAAACGCATATTGTTACGGGGTTGTCTGTGTGTGTGTGTCCGCAGCAACTTGGTCCGCAACTTTCAACTCGGGAACCACAAAAGCTAGGAAGCTGAAAATTTAGGGTAACGTTCCCCAGCCCGCAACTTTCAACTCGGGAACCACAAAAGCTAGGAAGCTGAAAATTTAGGGTAACGTTCCCCAATCACGTGTGACCCCGCAAATTTAAATTCAGCTTCCCCGTACCCGCAGGTAACGCGTACGGCCCCGTGAAAGCTTTTTACGGGTAAGTTAATATCTCGGGAACCACGGAGTCTAGGAGGCTGAAGTTATACGGTAATGACCCCCTGCCCACCCTCAACCTTGCCTATTCAAATTCAGCCTCCCCTTACCCGCGGGTACATGTACGGCCCCGTATTCACGGGTAAGTCACGGGTAAGTTAATATCTCGGGAACCTCGGAGTCTAGGAGGCTGAAGTTTTGGGGTAATGACCCCCTGCCCACCCTCAACCTCGCCCATTCAAACTCAGCCTTCCGTTACCCGCGGGTAACATGTACGGCCCCGTGAAAGTTTTTCATGGGTAAGTTAATATCTCGGGAACCACGAAGTCTAGGAGGTTGAGATTCTAGGCAAGGACCCTCTGCCCCCGCTCAACCTTGCCCATTCAAATTCAGCATTCTCGCGATCTCGGGTACCACCTACGGCCTCGTGAAAG